AAAAATGAAATGAGAAGGTTTATTTGTAAACAAACTTCATACGAGATCCGCATTCGAGACACGACTGATGAATTTTCAGTTGATGATTATGAAGTACTTCAGATTTGTGAATAAAGGGAATTATCAATTGCTTCGATCAACGAAATTTGCATGGATAAGGTAGGTTAAACGATTGGTTTTCTTTATAGATGTGCGCGAGAAGGCACATTTCAAACAGTCAAAAAAAAAAAAAAAAAATTACATATATACCATAAATTGAATGATGTACAATTACAGTAAATACGTAGGTTCATGCCAAACAAGATTTCTTCTATATTACTTATCAACACGCGAAATCTATTTATTTCTCTCTCACTATTATAACCGCCAATGTCTATTTTAATCACCTCGATTTCATTTCTCGTCTTGAAGAAAAAAATACAGGAATAAAACTCGTTGTACATAAACATGCGTTTATTAAATATTTATCCGAATGATGATTAAAATCTTGTCAGCAATTGATTAACGCCTGCATCTAACAGGGTCAGCCATTGTATAAGATCATCAGTAGTCCTTGATAAATCCTCGAATATGTCACTGGAACCCCTGTAATTATCCATTTTTAGTGACCTCAGCTCCGGACCTGCGTTAAGTATTGTTGATGATTGGCTTAGAAACAATGGCCTCGTTGGCGAACTTTGCGTCTGCGGATTAGAGTTGAATGCAAGCTTTGATGCGGAAGGGGATGGAGGTAATAGACGTGTAGAAGGACCCTCATTGATGTCTTCTACTTGCATAAGCTGTGGTATAATAGATAAATATTGTTAAATTTGTAAAATAAGATCGAACCTAGAGAACACATAAGAAGGATTACTTTTGAGTTTGAAGGCCGCTGGATATTACTGACGCTGGTAGCACGTTGCCTGGTATAGGTCACACCTAAATTCCCATTATATTTAGTCGCGTATTCCGTTTCTATAAGCTTCCCATCCTGTTGTAATTGGAGTTGCCTTTGTTTGGCCGCCATTGACTCTACCGGTGATAATCGATTTGTTGTGTTCAATGTTGTTGCGGATCTTACGCGTCGCGCAGGTTGTGATGGATAAACCTTTCCCTGACTGCTTGATCTATAAAGAGCAAAACCCTGAGAAGAGTCAGTGGGAAGATCATAACTTCCGTGTCTCGCCGGTGGGTTATGTCTGCTGAAATTAATCTTTCCAGGAGAGGAAGAATATGACTGATGAATGTTCCCAGGATCGTTATTATTTAGTTTTGAAGTCATCATGGGCAACGGAGGAGTCAGCAATCCTTGATTTACGAATGGTTTATCTGAACTGGATTCCACGTGGCCGTTGGTGTGAACACTCGAGAAATAACCGACCTCTTCCTTTTTCGAACTTTGTTTCTGATTTGTTATGGAAGACGATGATGACAATGAATCGTTCAAATCTGTTTGGGAGTTTATTGGGAGGGTAACTTTTGGGATCATAGGTGCTGGTGTTGAGGAATCCTTTGTTGGGATAACAATTTCAATCGAGTTTTCAGAGAGGTCGGTCTTCGACCCAGTAGATTCTGTGGATGAAACTGTTGAAACAGACATAGAGGGTTTGTGAGAACCAAAATCTGAACCATTCTCCCTTGGCTTTGGAGTTAAATATTGTTCTTGAAAATTCGCTCTAGTCACTGTTTTCGAAGGCGAGTCTTCCATGGTAGGCATCAGACTAACAGCATTCACCGACGGTATCGTAATTGTAGGGTTACGAGAGCTTCCGGTTGATGTGATTTCTTTTGTGATAAGATTATCTTGGGGTTTTTCCTCGTTTTGGAAGAGCTGTAATAGTGGATGCCGAGACTCGGAATATTTTCGTTGAAACAACGGTGTCGAGGGCGAGAGAAGTCCTTCGGTTATGATCCGTCCGTATCGAATGGTCGTATTCCGTGCCAAAACAGTTTGATCAACATCCTCGTTTTCATTGTCCTTAGAATTTTGTCTATTATCTATTATTAATCCCGTCTGTTCATCACCCTCTATGACTGGTGATAGTTGGTCCGGATGCAAGGACCCCAGAGAACGTGATTTACGATGTTTCTGCACGGTCTTATAAAATAAAAATATATATATATACATATATACATATAATTAGACTGGTAATTTCGATATTTTGTAATCAGGAGTGTCAAATATGGATAGATGAATTTACGTCGAAAACCCAAGCATCTTCTTCTTCCTCTTCTTTGTTTCCTTCATCAAATTCATATGAATCGCTCTCACTACGTAGAATTCATAAGAGTTGATCAGAATAATCCGAAATGTTGGAAAAATGGTTTCATGACATAAAATCTCACCTTGAGGGAGTTCCATATGGATCCGAAATGGATTGACGATAGCCGGTTGTTTGTCTCCATTGTTCGAATCTTACAATGAGGTCACGTAAAATACCGGTTTGTTGTTTCGATACGCTCTTTATGAATTTTGTTTTCACCAGCTCATCAGCAGTTGGTCTCTTTGTTATCAAATAGAGATGAGCATCATCAGCAAATACAATTAGGCATGAAAGAACTAAAATAATAAAATCCATCATTATTACCTCTGCGGGAATTTCGTTGAGACAAACAGCTACAAACTCTTTTATAGGAGGAGAGAAAGGCCCTTCTAAGGTGGCAGGTCTGTTTTTTGGTATAAGCTGAATCGCTCTCATTGCGCTCAGATCATGATACGGGGGGTTTCCCGTGGCTATTTCATAAACTGTAATTCCTAACGACCATATATCAGCCTAATTATCGATTGTTTGATGGTTAATTACTATAATTATTTACTTCTCAAACAATAATCTCAATGACATCAAATCTCATTTAATTAACGACGTCAAACCTTTGTGTCATAATTCACGCCTTCTGTAATTACTTCGGGGGCCATCCAATATCTGCTTTGAATTAAGGAACTTAATTTGATTTTATATTTTAATAATATGAAATGGCAAACGATGAAGGATACGGAGTTCCAACAAATGAAGTACGTTTGGCCGAAGAAGCAGTCAATTGTCCCGCCACACCAAAATCACAAAGTTGTACTTTCCCTTCAGCTGTCAATAAAATATTTGCCGCTATTTTTCATTTTTCAGAAAAAAAAAAAAAAACAAATCTCGGAATTGAATAATGATCGAGTAATTTCGCAAATACAATAGAGAAAATGATTACCCTTAATATCACGATGAATAATTTTGCATTTGTGTAGATAACTCAACGCTTGTAAAACCTCTCTAGTAATCATAGATATATACTTTTCTTCTATCTTTCCTGCTTTCATCTAATAAAACAAAAGGATAATGACAAGACAGTAAGTACATATGCTAAGATTGTAATTTGCGCGAAAAGGAAAAAAAAAGAAAAACGATCCCTACCAGGGTTCTAATGCTTCCACCGGCAGCATATTCCATGATGACCCATAATTTAGTGCCATGTAGAAAACTACCATAATACCTCGTTATATTTTGTGAATCGCTAAGTTGTGAAAGTAAGCTAATTTCTTTAATGATATCACCCACATCATCCTCCTCTGTATCCAAGTTTAATACCTTAATCGCTACCACTTGATTTGTCTCATTATTGATTCTAGGTAGATAGTCGGATCGAAAATTAGGATATTGGATTTGAACCAATCGAACGAAACCAAAGTCTTTCATAAAAGCCTACCCTTTGTAAACAACCCCATACGCGCCCCTGCCAACCAACTCTTGTTTCGAGTAAAGCTCCTTGACTTTTTTCTTTAGCACATAACGTTGATCGCTCACATTCATCTTCAATAACTATGTATTATATACAAATATTTATAGAAATTTTGTTGCTTGGTTTTTCTTTAGCTCTGCTACCGTTATTACGAGTAAGTATTATTATTATTAAATAAAAATAAATAGATCTATATGTTTTTAGTTACGACTGTTACAGTTGCGACTCTGTTGACCGTCAGGATTCAACCACGCGTGGATGTATTTCTTTTTAAAAATAAACCACATAAAATAAATAAATAAATAGTATGGATATCCGCAACATGAGGAAGAATTGAGGAAAAAAAATTATATTAGCTTTTTTTATACAAAAGCTCAAGTCATGTAACGCAGGTAGCACGTTTCAAGATGTTCGCCGTGTGACAAATTGTCTATCGTTTTTTTTAAATCTCCCTCGTGGAAAGTTCGAAGGTCGCACACGGAATATTCTGAATTATTTAACATCTATGTAGAATTTGGGTCAATATCCTGATCATCATATGATTCGATCATGCGGGTACGTAATAAAAATATTAACGCTCACCGAAATATAACATTTTATTTAATGTCACCAATCTCAATCACAATACTATTTTTTAATAACGACTTTAAAAAAGCGTAATTTAAATATTCGTATAGCCAAATAACAGATTCCGAAGAAATCATTTTGCATGAATGTTAAAAATACAAAAGAATCATGATAAATGATTATTATTAAAGAAATTGATTTAGGCGCATCATACCAACCGAATATATGTTTGAATAGAAAAAAATGTTCCTTCATTGATTTGGTAGAACAAATCGAAAGATAGAAGAATGGCAGAATAATTTACACGGTTTAAGGACACAATACACGTATAAAAATCGTGCCCTTCGTTATTATGTATAAGGAAGTAGACGCATAATAACATACAAGACTTTCAATAACAAATACACTCGTCTCGATGTACTCTCATGGATCGTTAGCCCATCGTTGTACCAAAAGTTTAGCAACATTATTTCCAGAAACACATTCGGTTTCCATGCACTGTGTGCAAAAGGGAAAAAAATAAGAATTGTTTTAATATTGAGGACGCAATCGCCACGTTACGCTCTGAAAAAAAAAAACCCACCGAGATCAACGGTTCGTAGCTATTCACATAAAAAAAGTTCTTATCTAGCTCCACCTTGGGGAAGGACTGATTCGGTATCAGTCGTGGATACGCTTTCCAAACCTTTCTAAAAATCCACGATCTTTCCGTGAACATCTTGTCTAATACCTCATCACTCATCTCCTGATGTGAAAAAATCTTATGTAGGGTTTCACCATTTTCCAGAATGAGTTTGGTACCCAAACTTAGAAATTCGGTTTTTCCGCTGTTAGTGGTGACGATATTTTGAGGAACTTCTTCGACCTTCTCGTAGCCGAAATAAGCAGGATTCACGCGACCTGCTAAGAGTGTCACATAGAGGGTGACATATGGGATTTCTTTCATTTCTACGTCTATATTCTCGAATTGAATTTGAGAAAATTGCTAGAAAGGAAAAAATTTTATTAAGAACGGACTCTAAGACAACAAGAATAATTAACAGGACAGAAATAGTTACAATGGGTGCTGCCAAAACGATCGCATCAAAAGTATCCACCTTCCCATTTTTCGTCGTCACTTCATACTTCATCACCTCCTCATCATATTCCGTGCTGACTACCTTGGAAATTTTCACAACCTCTGTATTCAACTTTACATCCGCTTCCGAGTGTTTAGCAAAGTTCTCGAAGATCTGATGATTCCCCCCTAGAACACCTTTGGCGCCCTGTGGCGCCAAACTGATAAACGCTCCCATCGTATGTATTTCTCCCAGATTTTGTCCATAATTCACCCTGGTCATTGGTTCCACAAAGTTTTGCAAATAAAGTGGATTAATGTTTTTCAGTTCCGAAAAGTAATATTGGGCATTGTATTGCATTTCGACATCCAGGTGAAGTCGGTTGATTTCGGAGTCAATGCTATGAAATGGTTCTGAAAATTCATATCCCTTTAGGTATTTCTCGATAATCGAATTCACCATTCGTTGAACTTTCACAGGAGCCCATCCGTATTTCCAGATTATTTTTGCTCGATCCCAGTAAGAACTTGATGACTGCTCGAATACAAAACCCTCCCCGTCCCATCTAAGGAGAGAGTGCGAAAGTTGATAATTTAAATGGTCTGGTAAGTATGTCTTTCATAAATTCATAATCCATTAAATGCTCACATTGCACTCCTTGAACCAGGGTACTCCTCTCCGTACTTCACAAGCTCCAATCCAAATCTCTTAGCGGCATTAAACATATGGTAATTCCTATCTATGAAGATCGATGCTCCCAATTCGAATGGAATCCTTGTGTTGTTTCGCTCAAAATATACTATACATGTTCGCCCGCCAACCTGTGGCTCTTTTTCGTAGATGGTGATGTCAATGGGCTTGGAGATATTGGCGTAGGATTTGGCTAGATAGTAGGCGGCTGAAGTTCCCCCCGCACCAGCGCCTTAAGAAGTAAGCGTAGAAAATAAGCATATAGCCAGAAAGCTCGAGCAAATAAATGAAAATGCATCCATACCTATTATCCCTACCTTCTTTGGTTGAGCCTGTGGTGAAAGGGTTAAGGGAACCTGATAGGGAGCTACTTGTTGAGTAGCCAAGGAACTAGTGTAAAACACCAGTATCAAACCAAAAATCTGTATCGGCCGGACAAAATACCGCAAGCGTTTTAAGGAGATCATCTCTATCGGTTAGTTGGTGCTATAAGCAAGAGTAGGTTTTCAAAAAATTCCTCAGATATATATATATATGTATATGTTGTCATTCGTTTGTCATACGAAATAGGATGTGAACCTAATTAACCTAATTAGCGTATGCAAAACAATGTTTAAATCCAGACCACAGCTAAATAAAAAACAATAGTAATTGCGGATAAATAAATTAATGTGGCTGATTATGTGATAGAGACTTGATACGCAAGGGATGAATTCATACGTACTTTACTAAAACCATTAAACACAGGTAAAACTTTGACTTCTCATGCATGCAATTTGACATGCCCTAACACAGAAAGGCAATTACTGTATCGAATGATTTCTACGTGATCTGTTCAACCAAAATTTAGGCCGGAAATATTTCGGAATGTTGATACACCGAAAATATCACCTGTTCTGTTAATATTTCCATTGCATATATCATTGGTTGATTCGTTCTATATGATAATGTGCCAAGCAAACATAACTTTTTGGCAAAATAATATTCTCACGGCCCAAAACTAACCTACATCGATTAATATATGCATATGTTTATTTCAAATAATAATTTATCAAAAATTTAAATTTATATTAACGCATATATAAAAAAAATCACAAATAAAAATCATTTCTTTATTCATTTGAATATTGCATAGCATACATTTAAGAAAGAAGCTACTGTATATCTTTCAATATGTATTTGCAATAAATTAAATAGTAACTTGCTTATAATAATTACCTAACCTATATTATATTAGAAAGAAAATTTTAAATTATTATAATATAAATTATTAAATAATATCAAACAATTATAAATATCTATTCAAAATTGAAAATAAGATAATAAATATATAAGAGTAATTAAAGTTACTTTATATATAAAAGTTTCAATAAAAAAAATTAATTTGTTAATGTTATAAAAAATTAAATATAGTTTTTATTTCAACTTATTTTTAAATTGTATTTTTGTTTTATTTAACATTTATTTATTTATTTATTAAATTAAAACAATATTAAATATATATCTTTTATGGATATAAATAATTATATTATTATATTAAATATTTTCTGTAATATTAAACTATAACTAAATACTAATTTATTCATTATTTATAACTTGATATATAATATATACTTTATAAGTAAATCATATTTTTTAAGAAAATTTTTCTAAAAAATAGAAATCTCATTACTAATTTAAATTATCTTAGTTTATTAATTTAGCTTAGATATAAAGACAATAATTAAAGTTAAAATATATTATATATTGATATTTTATAAGTAATTTATTTATTTATATTTTTGGTTTATATAAATATAATTTAAAAAAAATCTTAATATGAATATATATTTTCTAATAAATTTATATTATAATAAGATATAATAAAATTAATTATTCATTAATTATTCATCAATCTTTACATTGGTTTGAACTTAATATTTTAATGATTATTAAGTAATAATTCTAAATTCTAAATTTGTTAAAATATTATTTTATAAATATTAATTAATAAAAAAATTATTTAATAAATTATTTATTTACTTAAATAAAAAACATCAAAAACATATAATAGTATATAATTATATATGTATTTATACAAATATAAAAAAAGATAAAGATTTGATATAATTTTTTCTTTATTATATATATATATTTTAGGAAATAAATATTAATTCTTTATTTAATTTATATAATATTTAAATATATAATGTAAAAAAAACAATATCTTTTATATATAACAGATTAATAAATTAAATACTAACTTGTTTATAGTAATTACTCAATTAATATTAAAAAGAAAATTTAAAACAATATATTTTATCAGATGGTTTTAAACAACTATAATAATTTATTTAATATTAGATAAAAAAAAATTAAAGTAATTAATTGTTAGTTTGATAATATATTTAAAAAAATTATACAGTGAACCCTCTCTAAATGCACACCCCTCGGGACCATAGGAAAATTTTTGAAAAATATGCATTTATAGAGGGTGTGCATTTATGGAGGTAATTTTATTAATGGTTCTATGTACTTGGGACCAAGCTTGACCGTGTATTTAGAGAGAGAAAATATAGTAAATGCATTTATAGAGGGTGCATTTAGGGAGTCTCTCTGTATTTGTTTTGAATATAAAAGTTTATTATTATAGTTAATAAGTTAACAATAGTTAAAGACTTGTATAATAATAAAATAAAAGTTATTAAATAATTTTAATTTAATAATTTTTTAAATAATTTTTTTTGTTAAGATATTAAAAAGATTATTGTTTTATTTGATATTAATGAAAAAAATGTATTAACTATAATATATTAAAATATTCAAATTGATTTATATAATTAAATTAGAATCTCAATTGATATTTTGATTCAGTTAAAGAAATTAATTGTAAAAAAGATATTGTTAATAATATTATATGTTAATTTTATTAATAGCCAAATATATAAAATTAATTTGTAATTGTCCTTAAAATAAAAAAGATATTAATATTAATAATAAGTTAATTAATCTTTTTTAATACTATTAAATATTTAAAAACATAATGAATATCTTTGATATAAAAGTTATATTTGAAAAATATGAGTTTAGATATTAATTTAAATATAATTTGTAAAAATTTTCTTTTATAGAAAATATTTTTAAAGTAATTTGATTCTAAAAGCAATAAAATTGTTATACTTAGTAACTTTTGTATTTATAAAGTATTAAAAGTGCACGGTTACTTATCAATAAAAAGTCCCAAAGCATTGTAAGATATTGGAAGGAATTAATCGATATAGTTAAAGAACCAAAAGTCTATTCAACTGAAAAAAGTAAAACTGATTCAGAAAATAATAATAAGAAAAGAATAAACATATATAACTATAGTTGACATTCTGATGAGATATTTTTTAATAAATGATTTTATATCAAATAATTAATTCATTACTAATTATTTTATAGTTAAAAGATTTATTAAAAAATTTAGACAAATATTCAAAGTCAATTTAATTATTTCAATTAACTTGTAAACAAAATTATAACAAATTTTATTGTTATAATATAACTCTATCAGAAAACTTGTTAAGTTAGGGTTGTAAATCAGAGGATAAAGAGCAAGAAATATAACAAAGTAAAAAAGATAAACAATTAGTAAAAAAACATAAAAGACAAAAGATATCTGATTATAAGAAATTACTTATATATTCAAAAGAAAAGAAACATCAAACTAAAAAAAGTATACAAATGGATAAAATTCAGAAAACAATATTAAAGAAGAAAATTAAAGAAAAATCACAAGAAGTATAAAAATCACAAAAAATTACCCAAAGCAAAGGAAAATCAGTATTATAAAATCTTTAAGAGTTACACAAAATTAGTAAAAGAAAAAGATAATTATGAGCAGAAAAATTTAAATGAAAAAATAAATGAAAAATTTAGTAAATAATAAGTAAATAATTGGTTAATAATAAATAAACAATTACTGAATAATTAATTAATGAATAATTAGTGAATAACTAGTGAATAATTATTTCAAATTTTATATATTTTATATTTTTAATAAATTTATCAAGCATTAATTAAATTTTGTTAAATATTATTACAAATGCAGTTTTTTTATTGAAAATATACAATTTGATTTTACTAAAGTATATAATGCTAAATGATTTTATCAATTTTATAGTTAAATAATAAAAATTTATTATAAAGGCTATAATTTTTATTATAGAATATTGTTGAATATTTTTTAATTAAATATTTTTTTGTCAAATAATTTTATTACCAAATGATTTTATTGCTGAATTATTTTATTTCTAAATGATTTTATTGCCAAATAATTTTATTGCTAAATAAATATTTTTTTGCCAAATTATTATATATTTTTTAAGTATTGAATGGTATAAATTGAATCAAATAATAAACTTTGATATAAATTTTTATTAATAAATTTTAATTTAATCAGCTGTAATTCAACAGTCAAATAATCTAATTTGGACTAGTACAACTGGAGTATTATTTTTTTTGGACAGAGTATATTATTTATAGTATTGATAATTTGGATTGTTTGCTCTTCTTTTTAATATATTCAAATATATGCTTTATGTTTTCAATTCTAAGTTTGGATATTGAACATAAGGAATCTGAATACTGTTATAGATATAATTGATAAAGAAAAGCTCAAGTTAGAAGAATTCCTGAAAAGAGCTTGATTCTAAAAAATATTAAATTACTGTAGAAATTGTTTTTTAGATTTCTGAAGTATTTGAAAGATTTACATTAGTTAAAATCTTATTATTCAGCAATATGCCATTTATCTATTATTTGGAATATGATAAATAATTTGTTGAGCATTTGTTAACAATTTGATAATTATTGCTAAATTAAATATGTTGAATTATTGCCAAATATTTAACAAATACTCAACAAATTATTTATTATATGTCGAATAATTGACAAGTAACATATTGCCGAATAATCAAATTTCAACTAGTATTAGTAAGCACTTGAAGATTATGAGGATTAAGAATTTTTCCAAAGGTTTCCATTACTAATATGTTTTTATATATCATATAGATCTTGATTAACTTTAGAATTTTCTTTGACTATATAGTACTACTGCCCAAATTATTGTTATTTATTTTTGGATTTTCAGGAAAGTAAAATAGTAAGATATTTCAGTATATACACTAGTCCAAATTGAGTTATTCGGTTGCCGAATTACAGCAGATTAAATCCAAATTTATTAATAAAAGTTTATACCGAAGTTTTGTTGTTTGGTCCAATTTATACCACTCGGCACTTAAAAAAAACACAATAATTCGGCAAAAAAAAATATAACATTCGGCAAAAAATAAGTATTCGGCAATAAAATCATTTGGCAATAAAATCATTTGGCAAAAAAATCATTTGGCAAAAAAATATTTCTAGTTAAAAAATATTCGGCAATAAGGTTA